AGACCTGTATCCATTGTCCCCTAAACCTCCCTCCCATCCAGCCTGGCACATAACACTGTGTAGAGTTCCACGTGCTATACAATAAGTCTTTGTTTGTTATCCATTTTAAATATTACAGTGTGTCTATGACCTTCCCAAAGTCCCTAACTATCTCCTTCCCCTGGCAATCATAAGTTCAAATAACCTTAATTTTATTCATAAGAACATTTTATGTGTTAAAATTATCAGATCTTAGCCTATCATAGTCTTTGCAAAAATAGATGATCTCAGGAATATCCTGTTGGTTTAGTGGTTAAGTCTCTGTGCTCTCACTGATGAGAGCCTGGTTCGATCCCTGGTCAGGGAACAAAGATCCCATAGGCCGTGTGGCCAGGAAAAAAATAAAAACCTAGTTTCTCTTTCTCTTTTATTTTTGCTAAACTTTTTTTTTTAAACAACATAAGTTTGATCATAAGAACTCTTCTAGTCTCTGTTTATTCTGTCACTCCAGAAGTTTCATCCACATCCACAGCTTCAATTATTATATATTACATTAATGATTCACAAGCTTACACCTCCAGCCCAGGGAGCCCAAGATCAAGAGAGACTAGCTCAGAGAAATCTGTTGGTTTGACTTTTATCTAACAGAGTGGAAAGTAAATTAATAAGAAGGAAGCCCATAAGGTTTTAGAAGTCATTATATCAACTTGAACTAAAAGATAAAGACAGCACAAAATTAAGACAGGTCTCTGGAACTCCAGAGCACATATTAGGTTGATGCAAGAGTAATTAGGGCTATTGCATTGCTGAAATTTTCCATTTGATATTGGAATACATTCTTAAATATACTTATGTTATACATCATTTTGATGTGCTTTTCTCACTTTATGTTTCTTTGCTAATAACTTATTGGCTTCCCTGGTAGCTCAGCTGGTGAAGAATCTGCCTGCAATGCAGAAGACTCCAATTTGATTCCTGGGTCGGGAAGATCGCCTGGAGAAGGGATAGGCTACCCACTCTAGTATCTTACTGCTTATTTACATGTATTTTAGACTATGGAAATGGTGTTAGACAAAAACAAATTCAAGCAATTTTCTTATTTGAGTTCAAAATGAGCCTCAAATCAGCAGAGACAACTCAACAACACATTTGGCCTAGGAACTGCTAACAAACGTACAGTGCAGTCATGATTCAAGAAGTTTTGCAATGGAAACAAGAGACTTGAAGATGTGGAACACAGTGGCCATCCATTGGAAGTTGACAACAACCAATGAGAGCCATCATTGAAACTGATCCTCCTACAACTGCACAAGAAGTTGGCAATGTGACCGTTCTATGGTCATTTGGCATCTGAAGCAAATTGGAAAGGTGATAAAGCTCTATAAGTGGGCACCTCATGAACTGACCTAAAATAAAAAATATCGTTTTTGAAGTGTCATCTTCTCATTGTACACAACAACGAACCATTTCTCAATCTGATTGTGACATGCGATTAAAAGTGAAATTTATACATATGACAACTGGCGATGACTAGCTCAGTGGTTGGACTGAGAAGCTCCAAACTGTTTCCCAAATCTAAACCTGCACCAAAAAAAGTTCACAGCCACTGTTTGGTGGTCTGCTGCCAGTCTGATCCACTACAGCTTTCTGAATCCAGGCAAAACTATTACATCTGAGGAGTGTCCTCAGCAAATTGATGTGATGCACCAAAAATTCTAACATCTGCAGCCAGCATCGTTCAACAGAATGGCCCAATTCTTCACGACAACTCCTGACCACATGTCGCAAAATCAACACTTCAAAAGTTGAATGAATTGGTCTACGAAGTTTTGCCTCATCCACCATATTTACCTGATCTCTCACCATTCAACTACCACTTCTTCAAGCATCTCGACAACTTTTAGCAGAGAAAATGCTTCCATAACCAGCAGGAGGCAGAAAATGCTTTCCAAGAGTTCATTGAAATCCAAAGCACAGATATGTATGCTACAGGAATAAACAAACTTATCTCTGATTGGCAAAAGTGTGTTGATTGTAATGGCTCCAATTTTGATTTGTTTGAGCCTAGTTATAATGATTTAAAATTCATGATCTGAAGCTGCAATTACATTTGTGCCAACCTAATACATATATATACATAAGATCCTATTGGTTTTGTTTCTCAGGAGAACCCTGGCTAATGCAGAGGGGATATAATTTGTGTCCTTACTTCCTAGATCTTCAGTTGAAAGGAACTATATTCAAGGAGTTGTACCCAAGGAAGTATACTAGCTTTTATTATTGGATTTTATCTTGTAAGCCAACATGTGACTCTTGTCTTTTGTCAGAGAGATGTCCAAGGACTTTATTGATTGATTCTAGGGGATGCTGCTTGTTTTCTAACATTTTAATCATAAATGCAGCCTCTGAATGGCTCACCAACCCTGGGAGGGAAGATGCTATATGTAGTGACTGAGCTCTCAGCTGTCTTCTCAATGGCAATTGAATTCTCGGATGGGGTCAGCCTTAAGAACGTATTGATGAAATGAGAGGGAGCAATTTGAGACCTCTTTTAACAGGCTGAGGCACTTCTAGTTAGAAATGTGACCTAAAAAAAGAAAATTTCTTATTTTGTAACACCATAATCTTTCTCCGTTGGCTCAACAGTAAAGAATCCACCACAATGCAGGAGACACTGATTCACCCCTAGGTTGGGAAGATCCCCTGGAGGAGGGCATGGCAACCCACTCCAGTATTCTTGCCTGGAGAATCCCATGGACAGAGAAGCCTGGTGGACTACAGTCCACGGGGCCTCAAAGAGTCAGACACAACCGAGGTGACTGAGCATTCGTGTATGCAGTCTTTATAGTTCAGATTGTAATAGCCACGATTTGTGTGGTTGGCATTATTTTGAATGCATTACATGTAACATTTAATCTTCCCAACATCCCAACAGGTAACTCTTACTCTTCCCATTTTACTGATGAAAAACTAAAGTTCAGTGAACAGTTACACTTTGAGGGAATGGTGGCAGTTTGAAAATGTGCCCATTTTACTTCTAAACCTGTGTTTTCTTCTACTGCACCAAATCCCCCAGTAGACAGAAAAATGCCCGGCAGCACATTCCTTCTGCCTACTACCCCTTCCTGCAACTCCCTAAATTTTACTGTTTATTCACTTTAGGCTCAGAATTGAGTAGGCAATCATGTACATCTTGTTCCTGTTACGTGGTGCAGAAATCAGTAAGATGTGCTCTAATGCAGACACATGACAAAGAAAACAGGTAGAAGTCACAGTGTAAAAGTATTAGGAAAGAAGAAAGTCCATCTGAGATGAATTCAACTCGATAAACATTGGATTAGCCTCTGCTATATGGCCATTCTTGGGGAGATTCCGGGATGAAATGAGACTTAACTGCTTCCACATAAGCTCCCAGAATGTCATGTCAACATTATTTGAATTTCATTAGACCAGAAATGTCCAAAACATGAGGCTGTATCATGAAAATGAGGAGCACAGTCAAGAGGACTATGTCTTTTTTTTTTCCATTTATTTTTATTGGTTGGAGGCTAATTACTTTACAATATTGTAGTGGTTTTTGCCATACATTGACATTAATCAGCCATGGATTTACATGTATTCCCCATCCCGATCCCCCCTCCCACCTCCCTCTCCACCCGATTCCTCTGGATCTTCCCAGTGCACCAGACCCGAGCACTTGTCTCATGCATCCAGCCTGGGCTGGTGATCTGTTTCACCCTAGATAATATACATGTTTCAATGCTGTTCTCTCAAAACATCCCACCCTTGCCTTCTCCCACAGAGTCCAAAATTGTGTTCTGTACATCTGTGTCTCTTTTTCTGTTTTGCATATAGGGTTATTGTTACCATCTTTCTAAATTCCATATATATGTGTTAGTATACTGTATTGGTCTTTATCTTTCTGGCTTACTTCACTCTGTATAATGGGCTCCAGTTTCATCCATCTCATTAGAACCGATTCAAATAAATTGTTTTTAATGTCTTTACTGGCATTCAAAACACCATGCTTTGCACTTGAGTTAGTGACTCAGAAGGAATGACCTCGAGTAGCCTAGTGTCTTTTTTTTTTTTTTTTTTTTTGCCAAGAAACAGCTTATTTCCAAAGACATAACAAGTTCACAGACCGTTTAACTTTTCACTAGTATAGAAGCAAGAATTTTATTCAATTTCAAAATTAGTCTGTTTACAGAAATGTTTGTAGATGCTTTACAGACCTTCAGAAAACTACTAAATGTTAGTTTGGTATGTTAAAAAATTTCTATTATTTTTGTCTAATATTGCCCACAAAAGAGTGACTAGTAAACATTCTCCAACTCCACTGTGAAGAGAAGAGCATCATTTTTTTTTTTTCCAAATAAGTCTTTGATTTAAAAGCACAATGCATTTCAAAGAAACTTACTCTTGTTTAGAGTTTCCAGAGTGCCTGTTTGCTTGGAAAAACTAAAACTTTGCATGCTGTTTTCCATAACTTGATATTAAATATTCAGAGTATGCTTAAATCTTAGCCTATAAAATATATCTGCAACTGAAATGTTACCTTTTTCTGAATATCAAAACTCTGTGTACAATGTCCAATCTGATATGGAATATTGTACTTCAGATCTCAGTGCGATTATCTTCAAGTTCAGTACTTGTTGAAATTGGATTTATTGAAAATTGGACATTCTCTCACACACAATCTAATTTGGTAACATTAGAAGTGATGCCAAGTTTCTCACAAGTCATCTCTGTCCCCCTGAAAAATTTACAAGGGGAGTACTAAGATTAAAACATTTTTCAAGTACTTAAACTTTAAAATTTGTAAATTCCACTAATGAAAGTAGGTAAGAAAGTACTGCATTTAGATTAAAAGACATGATGCTAAAACTTGCCTTACATTTTTTAGTACATCTCAAATTGGAATAAATCAAAAAAATAAAACTTTATGAGTCTGCTGTTATTTCTTGTAAGACACTTGCTTGTAAAACTTTTTCTCTGCCTTCATTTATTTTTATTTTTAGTTTAAAAGCTAAAGCCAAGCCAGGAAGAGGAAGACAAGATGAGGAACCCCAAATCAAGGTAAACATTGTTTTAGCAAAGTACAGCATTGTGACATAAACCAGAAAGAACATTATCATGTATGTCATACAAGGCGTCCCAACAAAACTTGCTTTTCTTTTCTTAGGGTTATTTTCTATGTAAGATAGATACTATTAGAGCAAATATTTCTACATAGTTGTCTTTCAAAAATGTGTTTCATATGGAATGTGTTCCTTTTTCTAATTTCTAGCTAAGAGAAATATGAAATATCCAACTCTTGCCTGGAGGCTAAACAGTCTTCTGTAACTGATACAATAAAAACTAAAGAGAAAAATTGAAAAGGCTTGAATTTGACAAGCACTTACAAGTTTGTGCACTTATCTGAATTATCTAGACCCCTTAGGTCTCCACTCATGTGAACGTATTGTGAAGTTTTTGGAAGATTCTCTTATTTCTTCTTGCTGTCAGCTTAGTAGAAGATAGCTCAAGATCTTTGAAAAAAGACTGCTACTTTGCAGTTTGTGTGTGGTCAAATGGTCAACAAACTCGTTGTGTTTCAAAGGAAAAAAAAAACTTACATGCCAACATAAATTCTGTAGGCACTTAAATTATGCAGTATAGTAAAATAATGGCATAATAATGCTTTAAATAACTATTTATTTACTTTTGTCTGTGCTGGATCTTCATGGCTGTGTGGGCTTTTCTCTAGTGGGGGGCTTTTCTCTAGCAGCAAGTGGGGGCTACTCTCTAGTTGCATTGCAAGGACTTCCCGTTGCAGTGGTTTCTCTTGTTGCAGACCTTGGGCTCTAGAGCTTGAGGGCTTCAGTAGCTGTGGCACAGGGACTTAGTTACTCTGAGGCATGAGGGATCCTCCTGGATCAGGGATCAAACCCGTGTCTCCTGCGTTGGCAGGCAGATTCTTCACCACTGAGCCACCACAGAAGCCTTGGTATAACAATTTTAAAATATAGCCTGAGCTACACTAAAAAACGAGAGGAGAAGCTGAAGTTAAATGAATTTGGTTGGTTTCTGCCTTGTATCTCCTGCCTTTTTTTCTCCACCCTCATGCCACTCTACCCACCTTTGGCCACATGTGGTCCAAAGACATAATCCTGGTTGCCTAGGAAGTTTTTTTTTTTTTGGATGACTAGGAAGTTTTTTTAGGAATCTCAGCACCCCCAAGGGGTGGCCCTTACAACAGTCATGTCACCAGCAAGAAATGATGTCTTGTGTACCAGAGATAGGCTGTATTTACTAACTAGGTTTTTAGTTTCAACATTCTCTTCTATTCTGATTTTTCAAAATGTTTTCCTGTCCTTTAAATGAAGGTCTTGATACTGAACTTGATTCCATCTCCCTTCCGTAGAATTGCAAGCTGATTTTGGGGCTCATCCATTAATTTTGTTGTGTTTGGAAAGATGCAGGATGCGGCGTCTCACCTGAGAGAGAGTAAGTGAAAAGGGCCTACATTGCTGTGCCTCATTCATTCATTTGTTTGCTTATTCATTTATCCAAGTGTTAAATAATACATTTATACATTCTGTTAATGTGTCCAACATAAATTTTTAAATAAGAACTCCAGGGTTTAGTAACTGACTGGATATTGGGAAAAGTAAAGTGGAACTCATTACCAGTTCTGATTTTGCTAAAAATTTTGCCAAGCAAATTTCTACTACTAGAGAGCCAGATCATTAACTTTGCAGCCCTCTCCCCCTTGATGCCACTCAACAAAACGTGCCCCAAGTAAGGGAATCCTCTGTCTTGGGCCTGCTGTCCTCTGTCCTTCCTTCTCAATCCTTTTACAGCCTTGCTTTTCATGTTACCTGGGGATGCTGCTTCCATGATGGAAAATTTGGCCAGTTCTTTTAAGAGTGATTATTTTAAATTGTCAGCTAAACCTACTTAAGATGTGCAGCCTTCTTTTTACTATTTAGTGTAAATGACTATTTAAACTCCATATTCCAGAAGGTACCCTTTAAAAGAAGTAATAATTGGATAAGCATAGTGAAATACTGGCAAACCGAATATGGTATATATTTCTTATCCTCAGGGGAACCTCCTTTCTTATGACTATTATGATTTTGCTATTGAACCTTATAACAGAAAAGTAAGACTTGTAGAATAATGACATTAATGCAATAAAGAAATAACTATTTTTTTTTAAAATGAGCTACTTTTAAAAGTTACAAAGCCAAGAAGATTAAGGAAGGCAGATTATTTTCAATGCACATCTTGTTTTTCTCTAAGGTATATCAAAGCAAATACTTCAGATAGAAAACTAACAGCTTTCTATGGAAGGCATGTGATTGATTGCCAGACAAGTGATAAAGACTAGTTTGACTTGATCTTGTTTCCTTCTTTTTTCCATACATGCGCAAACTTCATGTTCGAACTCATTAGTTCAAAACCCACTTTTGTCAGCTAACAAATGGTAATTAGAGGAGACTTAATCCTAATGTACCTCCCAGAGGTATGTTGACAAAAAGAATACTGGCAATTCTATTCTGCTTTCACATGAAAATCTGTTCTAAAGTCATTATTATAAAAAGTCCTCCTTTATTGTCTACATCTTTAAAGAATTTAGGAATGGTAAATATCATCTTTTTGATTATAAACTTGCAAACAAGTGCTAAATGAAAAGTGGTTTTTTTCCTGGCTTGATTATGTTCAGACAAGACACAATCTTTTCATGCTGGTCTGTACAAAGTCTGATTTTTTTTTCCCTGAGATGTTGGGAAATGAAGTAAAAAACTATTTTAATAGTCCCTGTTCTGCTTTTTTCTAGATCTTCCATACTTCTTCCTGGAAATATTGAAGGTTAGTAAGAAGACATGAAGAATTGACCTTAGTTTCAGAAAAAGTAAACTTGTGATTTTATACATGCAATTTATTAGACAGCTGTGGTGAGCTTTAATGATACTCACATTAGTCAATGCCATCTCTCAGCATTAAAATTATCCAAAACTGTTAAGTGTTCTCTATGTCAGCAGAGTAAACAAACACAAACATCTGTTTAGAAAAATATACAGTTTCCCTGTAAATATATAACTCTATGGAAACAAACAAAACGTCATTGGCAAGAACAGTGATACTATCTCAGTATTCTGGGATATGACAATGTAATTAACCTGGCCCTGCTACTGTGTGTCTCAGACAAATAACTTGCAAAACCTGATGCTTTCTCAGATTCACAGTTATGCACACATGACAGTGCTGGCATGTGATAGACATTTAGCACATATGAAGACATAATATGAGAGGAATTCATAATGGTCAGGACTGTGTGTAACTTCAAATAATATAAATGGATTAGATTTTTTTAAATATAATTTGAAAATTTTAAAACTATAATTAAAATATTTTAAGAATAGACAATATTTACTGATGCATATAAGAGTAATTTTTCTTTCTATTAAAAAAGTTGTTCTTGGGGGGACTTGCCTGGTAGTCCAGTGGCTAAGACTTTGCGCTCCCAATGTAAGGAACCCAGGTTTGATCCCTGATTCGGGAACTAGGTGCTGCCTGCCACAGCCAAGACCCCCATGTGGCCAAATAAACTAAAAAAAAAGAAGAAAAAGATTTTTTTTAAAATTTTTTTTATTAACAATGTCATGACAAGAAACCTATTAATTCCTTTTCTTTAGAGTGTCTTACATATCTTTCATTTTTTAAGGGAAAAAAATGCTCATACTTCCTTTAGCAACAATGGTGCCTTCTGTGTTTGTTAATGATATGAGTATATTCAGTTACTTACAAACATTATTTCCTACTCTGTATGTGGGCATTCCTTTAATTTTTTTTTAATCTGGTTTTCTTAAATAAAATGAAAGAAAGTGTTCACAGGGGACACAAGATAGCTAGCTTACTGATCTTTCTTTCAATTACAAGAAAGAAAGATCCTTATAAGGAATCTGAAAATAAATAGTAAAAATGTGTCCTCTTCCAGGATAATTTTTAAAGTACAAATTTTGAAATAAAATATTATCACTGTGGAAACATCAAAGAAAAAGATTTAAGACAAGAGAAAGAGTAAAATAACAAATATTCACTGTAGAAAGATCTGAGGGGAAAAGGTTAAAGAAAAGATAATAGTAAAATAACGTATAAGTCTGTGACCCAAAGAGAATCAATATTAACATGTTGGTAGGCACCTTTCAGAATTTTTTTTTTAATGTATGTATAAGTAATTTCTGGTTTTAGCAACATTGGGAAATAAAAACAATGCTTTATTTATTTGTGCAAATTACAAAAAAACTCTGTCCTACTCTTTCCTAAAGGTCTTGGGATCAAAGATTCCCAAAGACCCCTGGTTAATTCTGACAATAGAAGAATTAATCCTCATGCTAACCTCTGCTCTCTTTGAGAGAAAAAAGCCTCAGATATGACCCTTGTGTCTGCCTACAGTGCAGGAGACCCGGGTTCAATCCCTGGCTTGGGAAGATCTCCTGGAGAAGGAAATGGCAACCCACTCCAGTATTCTTGCCTGGAAAATCCCATGGACAGAAGAACCTGGTAGACTACAGTCCATGGGGTCGCAAAAGAGTCAGACAGGACTGAGCGATTTCACTTTCACTTTCGTGACCCTTGCAGCCCATCTCTTTCCCTGCAGTCCTCAAGACAGGGGCCATCCCAACCCCAGTGGTCTGTGGCCTTCAGCATCTTCTTCCTGCCATCAGTTTCTTCTGTGTTCTGTTGGTGAAACCAGAATTCAGATTTACTTCATTTAGATCAGAGGTCAGAAAATGTTTTTCTGTGAAGACCCAGATAATAAATATTTTAAAGTTTGTGATAAGTGAAAACTTAAAAACTTAAGTGAAAAAATTAAGGATAGTATGTAGGTACCTATATAATAAGAGAGAAGACACATTTCTATATGCTTTTAAATCTAATGATGATAATTGAGTATTCCAGTAGTCAAATTATTTTGAGAATTACAAAATAATATTTTGTAATACAGAATCGCAAATAAAAAAAATGGAGTTAGCTTTTTTTGAGTAAGGGGTATAACATTTTGCTTCATTTGAGTTCAAAGTTGTGTCCCCTAACATCAAAATCAATTATAAATATTCATCTGTTAATGTTATCTCTAATGAGATTTTATAGAGTATTTCATCTTTCAAAATGTCTTTTCATAGATACAATATTGCCAAATACTGTTATCAATCCATCAGCATATGATTTTAATCATATTTATAGATTGAAATACATTAACAAGATTCTGTTAGATTCCTCTTTTGATATTTGTCTTTTAGCATGTCATTATACGTCAGATTAATCACTTCCAATTAAGGTTAGGTGAAAGTTTCTCAGTTGTATAATTAAATGGATTTGAAATAATGGAACTTCTTTTCCACTTGCCTCAAGGTCTGAAAAGTGCTGCTGGAAGCTCCAAAAATATACTCACTGTAACTTTGGATGGGGATAAAAACCTTGATTCTTGTTTTAACTTTTGCCAGCATGTGATGTGTTTAAAGCGCCTTAAAATTATCTGTCACTCACAAAAACATTAGTTGTCCAAATGTCTTTGCCGCAGTGTAAGTTTCACATATAAAGTCTGTATTGCCTCATAGCTTTAGATTTAATTCATTAAGAGACATTATCAGGGCTACAACAAAAACAGCCTTCTCAAAACTATTCAGTATTCAATGATACTGATTGAGGCAGTTCTTCTTGTTCAAGAAATTTTAACAAGGTTGGTAAATTTGTCCAGCTACACACTCTCTCTATATAGAATGCTTGGTTTGGTAATGTTGATGCATGTTATATTATTTCAGTACAGCTACAGTGTCACATAAAACCATCTTTCAGCATCTAATTCAATGATAAAACAATCCATACTACACTGTGCCTTAAAAGTATAACTTTCAAAGTCCAATTTTCTCTACTTTTCTTGTGTTGACATGATAGATACACACTGGCAATCTTTAAAAATCATGTCATGGTACAGCAATATGCGTGCCATTTGAGGTGCTGATGAGTTATAATTACATCACTGTGATTTGTAATGCACAAAAATAAAAATGTGAAGTGATGAGAGTATCACATAAGGTCTCTGTTGCAGCTATTTAACTTTGCCAGTATAGCACGAAAGCAATGATATATAAACAAATGAGTGTGGCTGTTCCAATATTACTTTATTTATAAATATTGAAATTTGAATTTTACATATCATGAAATGTCATAATTCTTTTGGATTAATCTCAACTATTTAAAAACATCAGAAACTACAGACTACACAAAAATAGGCACAGGATCAGATTTGACCCATGGATCAGAGTTTGCCAATCCTCATTCACACTAAAAGCTTCATATTGCTGCAATTTCTGCCTCTGTTCCTAAAGAAGAAGGAGAAGGAGAGAGCGGGGGGAAAGAAGGGATTTTTATAGCATAGTTCACTAAAGTCTGCTCTCTGTGATCAAAGTTAGCCAATTTTCAATCTCTAGAAT